TCTTCTGCTTCCTGCATTTAGTCCAAGTCTATCTGTTACTAATAGAATTTAGGATATATTTTTCTGAAAGATTAAAGAGGTAATCCCTTCCCAGCTCCACCAGAACTACCACCAAGGCAAAAAGGAACCCAATATTTGGTTCCCATCATTCTGTTAGGTTTGGCCTCATAAAAGGAATGCTAGTTGATTTCAGGCAACATTTTTTGTACTCTGTTATAAATAAACTCATTCTTAGCACTCATTCATTTTAAATGCCTTAATTCGCAACACTAGAGATGCAGGGAAATAAATAAAAGAATCTGCAAACTCTAGAAACAGTACATAGGTTACAAATTCTATGTAGCCCATCACTATTATAAAGCCTATTATAAAAATATAATAGGGTTGATATTTTTCACTTGATTTGTTCAACAATTCTGAACGGATAGCTGTCACCTGTTTTGGCCATATAATGTTTACATCAGTATTTTTTCATAACATTGATATAATTCTAAAATAGGGGTGAAGAGTTATAAATATCTGCTTGGAAGCAAGTTGCATGAAGCTTATTGAGACTTATTATCAGTAAATATGCTTAAATTTGCACTAATTATAAATTTGTGACAAAGAGCATGGTAGCTGAATTGGGTAGGAGAAGAATTCTATTGCCACAAAAGAGAAAAGAAAATCCAAACAAGAAGGAAAAGAAGTTGTGTTTCAGTAGCCATTTATCTAATTTGTTCCTTTAAGCTTGTGCTCCAATTTATGAAATGTTTGTCCTACAAGCATGTAAATTGGATAAGCCCACAAATCCAGGAGGAATTCATCCCAGATAAACATACAGAGAATAGTCTGGAAATGTTACTGCTATTCTATAATTCACTTGTTTATCAACAGAATTCTAACAAGAAATAAGAGACCTACAGTATCAAAGTCACTTCCAAGGTCAAGGTACAATATGCAGTTAATGACTCTGGGGAAATGTGGACACATCCAAGGGGAAAATTTAAAAAAAGATGCTAAGCATCTTTCTACAACTGGGAGTTCATTTCATGAAGAAGTCAACAAGTAGCACTCTGGAACAGAAACCAACATGCTGCAAAAACTCTTCTCCTTGACTTAGTGAAGCCCTGTAATAATGAAGTAAAAAAGCAGAGAATGTTCTGTCCTAGATTCTCAAGAACCGAAACATCCATCTCAGGACACATCCTGTCAATTCTGTCAACTGTAATTGACCACTGCTGTGTTGTCACCTGGGCTGTCTGTCACTTTGCCTCATGCAGGTTTCAAGCTTTCATGCAACACGAGGTTCTTCCTATCACTTCATGGATTCATGAATTCCAGCAGCAGCTGGGAGCCAACTGCCTTCCCCCTTCTAACAAGAACAGTAAACATGCTGTACTGTAAAATCTCTCCGGATACAGACATTCCTACTAGTCACATTAATTATCTATAGAAATTTTCTAAGATTTCTTAAGCTTTTCATTCATAACTCCCCTTTTCTTTCAGTACTTTCCACGGCTTCTGGGGAAATGAGTGGCAATCACTCACTTATTAAAATAAGTAATTTTTTTTTAAAAAAAACCTTCATTGAATGCATGAGTTGAGAAGTACTTTATAGGTCATCTAGTCCAATCCCATAGACAGAGAAGGAATTAGGGGCAAATGTTTCAAAAAAATTCCCCGAGGAAGACTTTAGTACTGATTAGGGTAGGGGTGGGCAACTCTGGCCCTTTTATGACTTGTGGACTTCAACTCCCAGAATTCCTGAGCCAGCTATGTTAGCTCAAGAATTCTGGGAATTGAAGTCCACAAGTCATAAAAGGGCCAGAGTTGCCCACTTCTGGGTTAGGGCAAACTGTTTCATTACTTTTAACAGTTCTTATCATAAATTCCATATAATGTTCACCATGAACTGTTTTTCTTTAAATATCCAATTATCGCTCCTTGATGTGGTATTCAATAGAGTAGGGTAGAGTCGACTCATTCTTGTATATGACAAGCTTTTGAATATTGTAGAACAGGGTTTCATTGATTTCATTGAGGGCCACATCACAGTTGTGTTTGACCTTGAGGGGCCATGTCGGCATAGCCAGCTTGATGTCACTCGTGTCGAGGGTGCCTGTGGTGACCTGAGCACTCTGCCAGTGAAAATGGGCTCCTGAGCTCCATTTTCAGCTGTGACGGCTTCTTGCAACCCTCTGCCAGAGAAAATGGAGCTTGGGAGGGCCGCCTGCGGAGCTCAGGAGTCCATTTTCACTGGCAGATGCACCGTAGGCTGGTCCTTTGCTGTTCCCGGGGCAGCCCCGTGGGCCAGATCTAAGCACCCCATGGGCCGAATCCGGGCTCCAGGCTTTGAGTTTGATACCCCTGTTGTAGAACATTATCATTTCACCCAACTCATCTTATTTGGAGCTTAAACACCCCTCAGTTCTCTGAACTTACTCCAGCTTCCCCATTGCCCTTTTAAAATGCAGCACCCAGAACTGGACACAACACTCCAAGTGCAATCTACTCATTACAGAGGACAGCAACTACTATCTCCTGCGATGTAGATGCAATGCTAACCCAAGACTGCACTGGCCTTTTTTGCTGCTGCAGTTTTAAGCTATGGCTCATAATTAATAACAGAGGAGAGGTTTTTAGACAAGAGGCCCCAGTCCTTGTTATCTCTAGGAAACATGCGAAAACTCCAATAAAGAATGGATTAGACGGAAAACACATAGTCCTTACTGTTTTGGCTTCCTCCTGGAGATCTGAATGGATAACAAATAAAAGGCTATGCTTAATATTTATTTGTTTGTTTGTTTATTTATACTCATTGGCTGCCCAACCCCAGTAGACTCTGGGTGGCATACATACAAAACTAAAAAAAAACATTAAAAAAGGAAATACATTAAACTAACAGAATGCTAACAAAATCTACAAAATAAAACAGGGGTCATTTAACAATGAAAAACATCAACCCTTCACCTGAGACCAAAGCCAGGTTTTTATAGCTTTCTGGATCTTAGGAGAGAAGACCTTCCTCTCTTGGGGGAGGGTGTTGTTGTTGTTCCAGAGGGTGAAGGCTGCAACAGACAAATCATGCTTCCTAGATCCCACAATATGACAATGTTTAATGGAGGGGATCTGGAGTACATCCACTGTGGTGGAACCTATTGGGCAGGCAAAAATAATTGGAGATAAGTCAGTGGTGAAATCCAATTTTTTTTACTTCCAGTTCTGTGGGCATGGCTTGGTGAGCATGGTGTGGCTTGGTGGGCGTGGCTTGGAAAGGATACTGCAAAATCTCCATTCCCGCCCCACTCCAGGGGAAGAATACTGCAAAATCCCCATTCCCACCCCACTCAGGGGCCAGCCAGAGATGGTATTTGCCAGTTCTCCGAACTGCTCAAAATTTCCACTACCAGTTCTCCAGAACCTGTCAGAACCTGTTGGATTTCATCCCTGAGATAAATCATCTCTCAGGTTTCCAGGCCCTAAGCTATATCTGTGTCATCCTCAGCTCAGTCTGCCTTCCTTGATCAGTTGGGGGAGGGGAGGAAGCCATTCCATTTCTGTAATTTCTTCCTTGTCACCGTGTCCTCCTTTTCTCTCCTTGTGACACTCACAGGAGATAAAAGCTCTCTCTAGGTTTCTGTTTGCAGTTTGCTCTCCTAATCTAAATGACCTTCTTGCAAACACTATAGGTGCTCAGCAGCCATGGCAAAGTGTCACAAGATGGAATGACCTCCCCCTGATTCAGCCGTTCCAAAAGGGGGGAAAAACCACGTACAGGAAGGAATTCTTCTCCTTTGACTGGTTGGCTATATCTCCATCACTTTCCCCATTACATTTACAGGCTCTTAACATAAAAAGTGCAGTAGATAGATAGATAGATAGATAGATAGATAGATAGATAGATAGATAGATAGATAGATAGATAGATAGATAGATAAATGGGGGGGGGGAGGAATATTTAAATTGAAGCTAAGGGAACTGAGGATTTAGAGAATTACACAAATTTTCATCCCTCATATATTCCTCCTCCTCAGTTCCTTATCCCAATCCTCCTTGCAAATGTTGGGGAAAAAAACAGGAAACTAAACCACTGAAGATGGGATTCACAGAGGACGGAAAATTCACCATTATTCTCTTATTTCCCTCTCCACCTTTCTTTGTTCATAAGACAGCTAGCTCTTTCTTATTTAAAACTTCTCTGTTTTCCTTCTTTTGATCAAAATTAATAGTGGTGTCAGCATGAAGGGTGGGGACAACCAGTTGAATCACCTCTTTTAAAAAGTTTTTTGAGAAAGGCAAAGGACAGATCCCAATATTCAAAAGAAATAAAACTTTTGCCATTTTCTTTCCCACATACAAAATCATTAAGACTCATTTCTAGGCACGGGAAAAAAAAGAGGGGAACCAAATCCTTGTGCTATTTTTCATCCTCCTTACCACTTGCTGCATAACACATAGTATCCCTTTACATACATTGCACCCAGCCAAAACAACCCTTGCTAGGTAGGGGCTGCACAGCAGAAACGAGAGAAAGCAGAAGAGGCAGCAGCCCCAGCTGGAAGGTGATCCCGCCTCCCTGCCATCTTAAAGGTCATCAAGTGCCGTCTAATTCTGCCGCTCGCCCAAAGCCCAGATCTCCTGTTTGCCCTGCAGGCTCTTCAAGAGGAAGGCGTTCGAGACCGTCCGTGGCCTTTGCAATCCAAGCCAGCCCCACCGGGCATCCCTAATCGCCTTCATAATGTGCTTCGCGCCGCCCACATGAAAAAGGACACGGCTTAAAAAAAGCCCAAGTGTCAATAGCTGCTGCTCGAGCGGCTCCCTCTTTAAACCTTAAGATCAGGTTTGCTTACATTCGCACCCAGCCCGGCTCTTCGCATGCGAGCCATCTACGCCACATTTTGGAGGCGAATTTCCAAGCGTTGCAGGTGGATTTGAACGCGCTGGGCTAATAAGCCCTCTCGATCCGGAAAGCTCGGCCTTCCTTCATAACCTGACGGCCTCCAGGAGCGCCTCCTTACCCAAGAAACTATCCGGAGGATGGTGTGAGGTTGCCGGATGAAGGTCTGGGGGTCAAAGGCGCCTCCGGCTTTGCCAGCTCCGTACGCGGCCGGTTCCATCCTCGGGAGCAGCCCGCTGGCAAGACCTGCCGAGCTGCCTTTCCCTCTGAGCTTATTTCCCTCGGCGATCAAAGTTTACCGCACCCGGGATGGATGCTCACGGAGAGGGCGGAAAGCAGGCTGAGCCGTCCAGCATCCGAGAGCGCAGCCCGCAGAAAAGGAGGCAGCGGTGTCAGCGGAGGGGACGGCGAAGCTGCGTGCGATGCCGGGAGGTTCTGGTTGGGAATTAGTTCTGCCTGACGGCCCCGCCCTCGCTTCTCGCTCCCGGCCTTACTTGCCGCGCTGAAGGAAGAAAAACTCGCGGGCGACAACTAAGGCCGGGGTGGGAAAGCAACCTACATAAGGTACAGGCTTGCCAAAGGCAGCCAGGCGCGCTCCCGATCCGCAGCAGTCGAGGGGCGGCCGCGAGTCCTAGTGACGGCAGGCGCTTACGTCCACCTAGCAACTTGGAGGGGGGGGGGAAGGGCGCTGCGGAGCTCTGCTTCCCTCGGCCGTGAAGGCCTTTCCAGGGAATGCGGTCTTCTTTAACGAGGCGGTTTCGGATCGGGACGGAGGCCTATTTTAGGAACGAACTGCAGTCCTCCGAAACACTACACAGTTTATGTAACCCAGTGAACGCAGCGGCCTATTTTTTCCAGATAGACGGGGAATAAATAGGTCTGCGCTGGTCTTCGTGAAGATGTTAATTAAACATGCAGCTCTTCTTATATCTTACCAAAACAAGATACAGAAGACACAAGACGTAGAGACCTCCTGGGTTAAATGAAACTTTCTTACTGTTTTCCTTGTGTACCATTTTTTTTTACAGCAATTGGCTTGTGAGTGTTGGAAGATATGAGAAACTCAATATTAAAAGAGCAGGGAAATTCTCCTAAAAGAAATAAGCAGAAACTCAGGCAGAGTTTCAGCCCCCACCTTTATCAATGGGCCATTAAGAAGCTGAAGCCACCCTATTTTCCACAACAAAGGAAGGACAAAATTACAGGGGCCTGCAACATCCAAACAGGTATGGGACACAGAAAAGAAAAACAAACACCCAAAAAGGAAAAAAAATCAAGCCAAAGTAATTTAAACACATGGGAAAAAGGAGAAAACACAGAAATAGCAAGCTGAATAATTATAGGGAACGAACAACTACAAAGGGCTGGGAAAAACAGAGAGTGGGCTATAAAACAATTATTTATTTGCCAGATCCAGGACGGAAGAACCCAATCACAAACAAAAAAAGGATTTCAACACCATAAAACAATCACACACACAAATCAAAGGATTCACACGCCAAATCAAAATAATTTCAAAAGACTTTAAAGGGTCACATAGAAAATCAAAAGATGTTTTAGGATATAAAAAAGGGTTACTCTTACAGTTCAAACAGGCTAGCCTCAGAACGCTGTGCTTGTATTTGTTTCTTGCCTGCCTTCCTATAAACAATAAACTAATTCTGCTCTCAAGCAGCTGACCTCCAATCATTGGCGAAGTAATCTCCCAGCCGGGAGTTTTGAATTTAAGAAGGGAAAGCTCTGCCTTCCAACAATCCTTAAAGGGAAAGGCGACTTTTTCCTTCCAACATGAGAAAGGTTGGGAGAAGTTGAAAGGATGCCTTTTGTGTCACTTGAGGTATTCCTAAGAAAGGTATCCAGTTGTAGTCTATGGAGATTCTCCGTCATCCAGGTCATGGTTGTCCCAAAGGTGTTTTTTCAAAAGGCAACTGGACTTTCTTTGTTTTCCTTGGATGAGAAGCGAAACGTCTTCAAGGAAAACACGAAGAAAGTCCAGTTGCCTTTTGAAAAAGTACCTTTGGGGATATCCAATTGTAGGTTATATTTACTGTGAGAATTTTGGGAAGAATTGCCTCTTCATTTCTGTCATCACTTTACCTGATAAGGTGATCCAAAATAACTCCTGCAGAATTCAGCGGGGCTTATTTCGTGATAAGTCCCAAAAATTGCAGCATTAAGAGATTTTTAATTCTTGCTACTTGCAGAATTTTTAGATGACACTCATTACGACTAAGCATTTGTCAGGAAAATAGAAGATGCCTTTTACCAAATTTAAAATAACAATGGCAACAAAACTAATAAAATCATTTCTAGAAACATAACTGCCTCTGTATATATTTGTTCATTTTCAACATCAGTGATGGCAGAGACTGGCCAATATGTAAACTATACGTAACAGCAGAACTTGGCTCAGCAGTGTTTTGCATAATTTTGCTTTCATCATTCAGTTCAGCAATTATTTGCTGAGGAATTAGAATGGCCCTGAAAAACCAGTTAGCCTTGGTCATGCTGCATTAAACTGAAATGAGCTTATATTTTACAATTAGAGGTAAATAGTTCCTTCTAGAATGTTTAAAATAATGAGAATTTATATTAGCTAAAATTATTTTGATACCTGGAATTTCAATAGCTCTGGAACAATCAGAAAAAACATTTTTGTGCATGCTCTTGTTTGATAAAATAATCTAGATCCATTTCTGGAAAATTTTAAGTATTAGGGGAAAGGAAAAGATAAGTTATTGCAGATGACAATATGTGTCCTGTTTACACACACTGAAGATATTCATCAGGATTGTTGGGAACAGCCATGAAAATGCAAATAAATACAAGGTACACCTTTAGGAAACTCCCTGATGACTTTGGAGTAGCACATTATCTAGATGATTTTTCATTAAAAACCAGATAATTTTTCCAGATAAAATTGCTGAGAAAGTTGCAAAACTTTCCAAGTTGCAAAACTAAATAAAAGTCTGATTTGTCATTCAGTCACTGTTTGGTTTACAAAGCAATGGCAGTGTTAGAAACTTGCAAGAAACAGTCCATCACTCTTACCTATCTCATTCTGAAAACTAATGCACATATAGAACAACCTAAACAGTGATTAGCTTTTTAAGCATAGTTTTGATTATGAACTCTGCTAAATGTATTCTATAGTTATATATATATTTATTTATGGGGGGGAAATTGCTGCCTGTCAAACCGGACTGTTAATTTGTGCATGCTTTGCCCCTCTATTTTTCATTATAATTGCTTTTAACCACATCCACACCAGGAAAAGCTTTATCTGAGGCAATAGAAAGTGGCACACTTATTCTTGATATGTCCTCCAACGTCAGCCCATTCTGTAAGGCTGAGCCATACTCTGAAATATTTTCCTATTTAAAAATGGAGGCATTGATCCAAGTCTTATTAATAACAAAGAGGTAAATAAAGAGTTAATTAAGTTTTTTTCCAATGTAGACATGTGCTGTGAATTTAACATTTAATTACAGAATCAGGACATTCAGGACTATGTTGTTAGGCTTACACAATAGAAATTAGCAATTGTGGATCAGCATATACTTTTTTGAAATAATGCCCATTTATATAGAAAAACTTGTTCACATAAATTATTTTGTAAGAGTCTCCACAAAATAGTCTGATATCGCTCATATTGAAAAGCCATAATTTAGTTCCGTGCTGTTTGTTCAGAAAGTACCAGTAGACTGGGTTCATAACATGTTAAATCTCTAAAACACTACTGTGACTTTATGCAATATGTACATTTTGTTAAATCCATGCTGTACATATTGACCCAAAAAGGTTGCTGACCTGCATTTGGCAAATAAGAATATATTACACCAAGTATGTGAGTATTAATGAAAATAGCATCCTTTATCTTTGCCATGTACAGCAACAGATATCAAAATTGTGTTCTTATAAAGCAATGTTCCTCATCTTAATACCCTCCAAATGAATTGTACATTAAGGGGCATGCATAAGTGCATCAGCGTGCCTACTGTCCCTGTCCTAATATTCCTTTTTACTTATTCTTTTCATGTATTCAAATTATGTTTATACTTTTACCTGTTATCTTATATATGCTTGACAAATAAACTTATGATTATGATTATGATCTTCCTGAATTTCTAGCCAACTTGTACTATACTACAAAATATATAAATGTGCACTATAAGAATGATTAGTAGTGGAATTGTGAACTTCGGCTGGAAAAAAATGGTTCTGAAAATCCTAATAGTCTTTCATTAATTTATCACTAGTTCTGTTCTCAATACCTGTTCAAATTTACACCGATCTTCTTAGCCAGAATATGAAATGACTTATAGAGAAAAAAATCTGTTTAAATCAATGAGTGACCTTTATACTGAATAACAATTAGGGATACTGTTGATAGATGCCACCTCAGTTTTGTTATTATAAGGAAAATGTGATGATGTTGTAGCAATTTTATTTTATAATGGAGGATGATACCCTGTTGCTCTGATTGCTTCATTCTAAACTTGATGTTTTTCCCCTTCTTTCTCGCACTCCTCTAAACTTAAAACATGCTAAATATCCAGTAACCTTACAAAAAAATATGAATTGTCAGTTGGGATTTGGAGGGTGGAAAAGCTGGAATTCACGTAAACTGCAAATAAGCTATGTTATAGGTTAGTGCAGTATATAAATCCTGTCAAGGTCTATGCTTGTATGGCCAGTAAACTATGGTTTACTTAGCAATCCACACAACACAAAGTTCATACTTCATGCCAGCCAATACATCACACTATAAAAAGTATCAAGCAATTCAAACAGTTTGAACAATACAGCAAACCGAAACAAAAAAAACCCCCTACATATTCATTTATGTATTGTGAACTAGTTTTGCATGTAGACAATTCTTATTGAAGAATTTAATTACTTCATATTAATATGCCAAGAATGGAAAACATCTAGAAGTTTAATCCTTAAAGCGCCGATTTTGTCCTTAGATCCCTCTTGAAAATTTTACATAGAAAAATCTGAAATATAGTTATTTGTTCCTACCACACTATATTAGCAAAATACATGAGGGATTTTTGCAGTTGTGTGCTAAAAGCACGCATACATCCCCATATAACTGGGAACACCACAGTGCAAGTGCCAAGGCAATGGTATTAAAAAATGTCAGCATATAACAACCTTGACTTCTTTTATCTGATAATCTTTATAACACTGGAGAACATGGAAAGGTAGAGTGCAATGAAGACCATGCAAGCCACCTTCATTCGCTTCACGGTTGTACCTGTTTTTTTCACCGAAGTAAACCCATTCTTCATTCTGTTGTTCTGGAACCTTTCATGCAGAGGAATATTGGTGCTATCTAAACCGTACTTGCCTGGTCCACTGACTATGTGCTCCGTGGCCACAACAAATTTTAGCACGTAAAAATGCTGGGGTATGTCTTTAAGAATAGAAGTAGCAGGGCCCTTAAAACGGGTGCACAAGGGAACCTGGATACATGGAAGGACACAGGTAATATCACCTAAAATGTCCTTGTTGTGGGCTGAATGTTGTATGGGCTCGATGTAATTAAAAAGTTGGGTCAGTGCATATTTCAATACTCCTATTGACAAGCAGGCAGCTTCCTGAACTCCATCCAAGAATCCCAGGAAGAGAGAGGTCACAATTT